TTTTTTTTATTTTTTATTTTTTATTTTTTTTTTTTTTTTATTTTTTTTGTCGTTATTGTTATTGCGTGCTCAGTCTCCTCGTTCTAAGGAGCGCGGGTTCCGCGTCGTTTTTATAAGACCGGAGATTATTGGGGGAGGGAAGGCAATTGGCGCGCGTCGCGATTACGATGATGGAAACGGAGAGCGCGCTGGAGCTTGGATTCTCATCTCAGGCATCTAGGATCTAGTCGGATCGACAGCGACGAGTTGGCCCATCTCCATTTGACTTGATGCTTCTCCTTGTCGTAATGCAGGCAAGCGGTGTGAGTACATGACGAGTCTGAGCTTTATCGATAACAACTCGCTGGTCGAGTTAGAGCCACTTCGCACACGGCCCGAGGCAAACGTGACGATTATTTTTACAACGAGCCAGGAGAACGGAGTATTGCTTTATGATGGGCAGAGCGGGGAGCACTTGGCCGTCGAGCTCTTCAACGGTCGCGTGCGCGTCTCGTACGACGTCGGCAATTACCCGACCTCGACCATGTACAGCTACGAGCAGGTGTCGGATGGCAAGCCGCACATGGCCGAGCTCATTGCCGTCAAGAAGAATTTCACCATGAGGATCGACCGGGGCGTCGCGAGGAGCATCATCAACGAGGGTCCCAAAGAGTACCTTAAGCTCACCAAGCCCATGTACGTCGGGGGCGTTGCCACGGAGACTGCCGCTGTCGCCTTCACCGAATTCCATTTGCGGAACATTACGAGTTTTCGGGGTGAGTTTTCGAGCCACTGTCTGTCTCTATCCGTCTTCCTCTGCTGCTGCCCGTTAGCCCGCCAGCGCCGAACGATGATATTGACTTTCGAGCTCGTTATATGACACGTGGCGAGGATAAAGCGCGCCTTACCGCGGCTTAATTGAATTTATTATTGACGGGGTTCGATATAGTCACGACTCCCCCGCCTTCTATTACCATGCATAAACAATTGTTGCAGCTAAACACATATGCGCGGCTACTTTGAGGCGCTCGCGATTCGGGAAATATTCATGAGGAGCTTTATTAAGAGCATTGATGAATGTCCTGCTCCAAGGCCCGCTATTATTTTGTACGATTGGAGGGCAAAGATCGAATAAAGTGGTGGATATAAATATACGAGAATGAGGATGAGGATACCGGGCGTGCCAATTCGAATAGAATACAGTTTAAGCGTGCGAAAGAAACTGTTATCGCGTACTATTATTACTACTACTACTAGTAGTAGTGGTAGTAGTAGTAGTACTAGTAATAGTAGTAGTAGTAGTAGTAGTAGTAGTAGTAGTAGTAGTAGTAGTAGTAGTAGTAGTAGTAGTAGTAGTAGTAGTAGTAGTAGTAGTAGTAGTAGTAGTAGTAGTAGTAGTAGTAGTAGTAGTAGTAGTAGTAGTAGTAGTAGTAGTAGTAGTAGTAGTAGTAGTAGTAGTAGTAGTAGTAGTAGTAGTAGTAGTAGTAGTAGTAGTAGTAGTAGTAGTAGTAGTAGTAGTAGTAGTAACGTTCATAAATTTATTTTCGACTTTTGCCACGCAAGCGGACCAATCAATTGTGCGGCGCGGAAAAAAATTATGACGCCCGATAGATATTAATAATGCTCGTGTTTGTAATAAAATGAAATATTTATCACGATGGAATTTTATATGGCTACGCTTTCACGTGGATATCTGAAATATGGATCGTAATGGATGATTAAAAGCTTGTTTTCGTAAGAAACAATGTATTTCTTGGCTTACAAATCACATTTATGATCTCTCGGCTCGTAAAGTGAAAGTCGAAAATCATAGCCAACTGTCCCAGTATACGAGGGACGTGGATGGTAAAACTCCGCAAAGTTTTATTATTACATCAAATTAAATGTTAAGATTTAATTACGTTAAACGTTAATTCGTATCGGCCATTAAAATCGCGCGGTTTTTTACAACATTAATATTCTTGTGTAATATTTCATTCGAATTAATTCACAAAAAATTTGTAGGTGAGACTCGGTTAATATACTCAAGTGTTAACTCGCATTATGTATGTTTTTATTTGACGTCAATTAAATAATTTAGCTGCAGGAAAGCAATGTTGGGCTCCTCGTTTTTAAAGCACTGCCTTATTCGATGTTCGTGTCCCTTCTCTCCGCCCCCATCTCCCCGCGCCCCACTTAATTAATATACGTAATGTCGAAAAGAAGTATTTTTAAAATGCCTTTTCATGTAAATCGAGAATTAATAAACTTCAAAGCCATTGAAAATATTTTAATTACGCGGTTAAGTATATTACCCGCTCTAGTTGGAAATTTTATGAAGTGGCTTTATTATAACTTTATCTAATAAAGCCGCAATTATTAAGCTCATGAGAAGCGCGATAAGACAGCTTCAAGTAATTTCTATAATTTATTAAGAAGCTCGTTTGCCCAATCTCCGACGAATATTCCGCGAATAATGGATTAATAATTGCCATGCAACGATAATACCCAACAATCGTCGCATGCACTAATGAAAGTCCGATCTGTCCTGGATTGGCGTTGGAGTACCACCAGCAGCAGCAGAGGGAGTTACGGATAATGGGGATATTTGGCGGGGGTTGGTGGGGGAGGGAGAGGCGAAATTAGCCCGAGTATTGGTAATGCCGATGCTACAATGAAGCTCGAAAGAGATCGGAGGAGAAATTCGCTCGCACGAATCTGACAGAGACGCGAACGACGTCGCTCTGACCGCAGGTTGCATTTCGGAAATGTGGATTAATCACAAGCTGGTCGACTTCAGCAACGCGGCGAAGATGAACGCCGTGGCGCCAGGATGCGGCACCGAGTCCGATGAGGAAGCCGACGAGGCTAAGAAGGGCACCGAGGCCGCAGCTACCGACGCCGATGCCAATGCCGACAGCATGCAAGTCGACAATGCCGACCAGCTGGTACCGCCGCAGCAGCACGTCGTTCACGAACATTCCGGTACACTCCTTGATTATAACTATTTAACTATTCCTGCCTGATTTCCCATGCAATTTGCATATTATTCGTGGGCGATATTTATACCTCGGTTATAACGATGACCGCTTAATAACGAAATAAATTCTCCTGCCCTAACTAGCCTATGATTTTTTGCCGATTGGGCGGGGTGGGTGGGTGGGGGGACGGGGAGGGGTAGGGGAATGGGGGGTGGGGGGGGGATAGAGATGTTTAAAGGATAAATTTATTGCTCGAGTGGGATTAGCCGGAGGTATTGATTTCCAGATTTATAACATAATAACACACGCGTTCGAATTTATCCTCATTGCTGCAGTTGATAACCAAGACTTTACGATACTACGTTACACGTCTACACTGAGAATTCCCGACTCTGTATTTACTTTCTCGCGTATATTCAATTTTACCGTACTTTTTTCCCCCCCTTTTTTCTATTTTAGATTTTGCAGTATTATCCAGTTCAAGTAACATCGATCCCTGCATGAGACACGAGTGCAAAAAAGGCTCGACGTGCGAGGCAGCGCCATTCGGAACTGGCTACACGTGTAAATGTCAAATTGGCTGGCAAGGACGATACTGCGAAAAACGTACGATTCACATTTTTATAAGATATACGCGTGTTTGCGATATCGGCTTAACGCGCCGATTAAAAGCGCATCTTAATGTATCATTCATCTTTCTCTTCGTTCACGTTACATGTTAATTTGTGTTTCTTGTTTTTCTTTTTCCGTTTGCTTGCTGCTTGTTTCATTATCGAGAATAGCACCGACCTGCCGAAAGGAGCACATCCGCGAATACTACACCGTGAGGTTTTATTGGGACAATATCGAAATTGCCTCAGAACGTGTTTTCAAGACTTAATGTCGGCGCCGTTCTAAGAGGCGCAAGGTACGTAAAATCAGAGCCATAAAATATAATCACGATAATCATATCCTTACAACATTTTGCTTTTTGAATTTCGCGGTAAGACGGTAAGACGGGACGGGTCTCCTTACTGGGAAATATGATTTCAATGGCTCTCGCCCTCCGTTTAGACTCCTCCTTAAAGCCCTAAGTCCCCGTAACCCCGGCCGTTCATAATGGCTCCACGTAAAAAGTGCAAGAACCGCCCGCGAAGCGCCTTCCCAAAATTACCGCGAAAAGCACTCCGTAAAAACGAAAGCCAAAAGCTCGCGAGCGATGAAATAAATACAGCCAACCCACGCTTTTCCAGATACGGCTGATTTGCAGCGACGGCACTCGCTACACCAAGGACGTGGACCTCGTGCGGAAGTGCACGTGCACGCGCAAGTGCTACTAACGCGGATATCCGTTTTGGCCGCCCCTTGGTCTTGCTGAGCCAGCGGGAAGTGGAGAGCGAGGCGCCAGACGGCGCTAGGATGAGAGGCTTCTCGCCGAGAGGACGCGCAGTCCTGCCGACGTGGGAGAAAACGAGACGCGCACCTGTATTAACGAAGTTTTCCTCGCCGGCTACGTAGGAGCGCGAAGGAAGCAAGGAAATTTGCTTGCGGCTCGATACGCGCATTAGCTGCGGTCGAGATCAGCCGCTCCCTCTCTACCCCATACCAATTACACCCTTACCACCCCTCAACCGCCCCTCCTCCAACAACCCCTCCACTCTCTACCACCCGCTTCGCGTTCCCCATTCACAGCTCTCCATCTGCCATCGTCACCGCGCGCCTACACGCACACACGTCCTTCGCCTCTCGCCGGAGACCGACCGACGAGTACCCCCTCCCAAACCCGTGACGCCCGGCACCCAGTCCCACCCTCACATTCTCATAAACGTGCTTTACGCTCTTGACGCGGGCGACGCGTGTGGATAACGACTGCGAAGGTGCGATTTTTACGCAGACGCAGAATAAGCAATTTCGAATGTTTCGCTTGTTTCGCTTCTTCCGCTTCTTTCGCTTCTTTCGCTTCTTTCGTCAGCTACTTACAAGTTTGATGGCAATATCGGTGTATCGTTTTTAATTACGAGATGTCCTGCTTTTCTCCTTTCAACGAAATTGCACAGACTCGCGAAGAAAAGCCAAGCTCTTGCCTAATGAAACATTCATATTTATTATGCTCGTGGGGGTTTGGTTGAAGAGGGGGGAGGGAGGAGGGGGAGGGGAGAGGCAGGAGAGTAGTGCATAGTGGAAAGTTTTCAGGCCTACCTATGGAGCTCGGCAAATTTATGCAGAAAGACGATAACAACGCTTCTCGGGCTAAAACGTATTCTTCGAATTCAGAAACAATGCGCGTGTAATTTCCATCAAACCGCGGATTGGCAAGTGCGTACTTGCTAACCAACGAGCGCCTGAACAGAGAGAAAGATAAAAATATTCGCCCGTGTAACGGACGTACATAAGCCTCGCATACACACACACGCACACACGCACACACACACACACAAAACAATGATCAAAGACGTATCGAGCTGGCATAGTTTTTTATGCGTGCTATAAGCCTGACAAGTTGCTCGCGATAAGTGGTCGCGTGAGCATGTCTCGAGAAAGAAAAGGAAAATGACGCTTTGTACCATCGACCCGCGCTGCACAATGACGAGGAAGTGGCTGATGCTCTATCGACATCTCCGTCAACTCACGAGCCCCGTTCAACCCCTTGTTCCTTGCGCTCGACTTCCGCGTATTGCGAGAAATCTTTTATAGTCAAGTGAGATACGATGATCTTTTATAAAAACTTTCGCGCCCCTTCGATAGTGCTACATCCGTGTGCAAGCTCTTGACTAAAATATACATCGTACTAGATAATAGACATAAATTTCACGAATAATGGAAATGAATTTTATAATTGTAAGCGTTTTGCATTTAGGCATTTATCGGAACGAAGATATTATAGCGAAATATTTTGGAATTCAACATTCTCCGAACAATATTTTTGCCTTGCCGAGTGCGTTCGCGTCTTCTTCAACTATTCTAACCGAACGGAAAAAACAATCGATAAGCAAAAATCGAAAGGCAAAAATATTGTACCATGTATTAACCAGCAAAATCAATGTGACTTTAATTGTTTCATAGTCGGAGATAAGTCTTATTATTTTTGACGCGTATGTCAAAAATCAAAAGAAACTCAATTAATTAATCATCTTTAACAATTAACGTATAAAGCATAATAAACATACATTAAAGTATTGCATTTTGATAATTCACTACCTCTATTTAGATTTTTGCCAATGTCGTCGTGAGAGCCTCCCAACTCCCAACCCCATACAGATATTAGTATGTATTATGTGCTATCGCGATTAAAACAAAGTATATATAAAAAAAAAATATATATACATATATATATATATATATATATATATATATATATACATATATGCATATATCAATTATATACATACACGCGTTCTATCTGACCATCTGCCTCTGTGTGCACGTGCGTGAATGTATACGCGTGAGTGGGTATATGGATAGGTAAATGGGCGTGCGTGGAGTGATGTTTGTGCGTGTATGTGTAACGTATGTGTAGGTATATTTGTAGCGAGAGAATTCGGCTGGTATCTCTGTACATATACATAAGCAACGATGCTTTTTGCGCGCATATTGCAAAACCCATCGTAAAAACGTACTCAAGAGGAATGATGAAATAACGAATGCGTCTCAAGTACAACTATGTTAACAAAGAGAGAAAAAAAGTGGCAAGCAAATTAAAAAATTATTCGATATACGCAGATTATGGAGATAGTATTACATATAATGTAAACTATAGTTTAAACGCACTAATTGTATTATCTGGCGAACGCGCGCTCATAATTGCATTTAACACCTTGGTGATGATAATGAAAATGAGCGAAACCTCACGTAAGAGGAGAAGAAATCAATGAAAATACACCACCGACAAATAGTTTTTAAGCGCGGGCGTGCGCTTTCTTCAATATATCTCCATTTTTCATTAACTTTCAATCACTCTCCCAGCTCCTTCTCACTCTTACTCTCCCACTCCCTCTCCCTCTCTACCGTGCTAACTATTTAAAAATAATGAAATAATAGGAGAATAATAGACGTTAAAGAGATTGAATTAGTTGGCCTACGCATGTATTTATTTAAACAATAAGTTTTCGTTTAATTTGTAATTATACTGAGACGAATATATTATTATTATTATTATTATTATTTTATTTTTCATTTTATTTTTATGATACAGACTGTACATGTCTGCCGCATTCATCGATGTTTAAGTCAAAGTACGAGTTCTCTTAGGTTTATTCTTTATATAACCAAGTTGAATTTCAAATATATACTTTGACTGTTTTAAGTTATCACATACAAATAGACATCCTGTATTAGCTAGGACACTGCTTACGAGTGCGCGCTGAGGATTTTGTATTTATGGGACGACATTCATTTCCAGTGGGACAGTAACGTAATTTGATCGATAATTTTTCGATAAATAATTCTCCCTATATATACACATATATATATATATATATATATATATATGTGTGTATAAGGGGTATAACCTTTTCCAGTTTATCTCACTGAATTTTATTTATTTAACAGTTGTGAGCGTTTGTTGTATAATACAATAATTTACAATAGTCATTAAAATTTGGTAAATCTCATTCATTTAACACGTTTCGTACATTATACTTACATGCCGAATGAAATACCGTTGCCAGATTAGTGCGATGCATTTACGTACTTTATTCTAAATCATTAAGTATTTATGAGATTACGCGACTCTTTCTTTATTTAAGAGGAAAAATGTTTCGTTTAATATTGACCGTCAAAGCAATGTAATGCAACATGAAATAGTACGTAAACATGAAAAAGAGACGATTATCGGCTTTTCATTCATAATGCATATATGTGCCTCGTCATATAAGCAAAAAGCTCCTTTCTAGTTGAAGCATCTGAGATTATAGTAGTTTATAAAGAAAAAAAGAAGAGAAAAAGGAAAAAAAATGTTAAAAAAGAAAAAAAAGAAAGAAAAAAAAACTAGAGAAAAGAATGAAAAAAAAAAAAATATATAATTATCGAAATCTAAATGTCACCTTGCTTTCGATGTGGGGTGTGCTTGTAAAATTGTCAAAAAATGTTACGAAAAGAATGTAGGTCTTCCGTCAAGGGTGCTTCGGTTCTCCATAAAAATAAAATGTCAAGTATGCTTCATGCCTCACGATATAGATAAATTTTTTATTCGATTAATAAATCCCTGTAAACGGCTATAATGTATTCACACTCGGCTCAATTACCTAAACACTGGCCAGAACTTTTGTATAAAAAAAAAGATATAATAAAAAATAAAGAATATTCAAAACAAAATTCAAAAAAAAACAAAAAAAAAAAAACAAAAAACAAAAAAACAAACAAATTACAATAATAATAATAATTATAACAATAATAATAACAATTTCCTGCGAAGGAGTTGGTCTTTAAATGATCGCTGTCGATATTCGCATGGCAAAGCCAATGCCTAAAAGGAAAGGCAGCTAACTACAAAAACTTGATTGTTACTTGATTGTAATGTTCGCAAGGGCTTAGCTAAATTATGGCAAATCAGGATTAGACAGACAATGAATCAAATTAATGCTAATTAGATTATATTTAATGTATTACTTGTCATTTTTTTATTCCATTAATAAATTAATATCTAATAATAAATGACGAGAATTTAAGGTAATTGTTTGCAGCATTTTCAATATCACAGGAATAATTTCGTAAAAATCACTTCACATTGATCTCAACGCGTTTGTCGATCGAAAAACTTCTCAAACTTGGAAAGTGTACGTGTAAAAGTATTATTATAAAATTCATCGAATAATTGAGATATAAAACGGTACGAATGAGAAACTTCGCCAAATGCACGCTCGTGCGCCCTCCTTTTCGCAATAACAATGCTGAATTGCATAAGTTTATTCATACTTCTAACTGGAATTCATTTTTGTGTGGATCTTCGAAGCAAAGCTCGACGCCAAATTATCCCCTTTCCTTCGCGATAAAACACGAACGACTTCCGAACCTAGAGAAATGAAATCCATAGACACTTAATCCTGCTTAATTTTCAAAATAAAAATACATACAAATAATAATTGACTCTAATGTCAACAATGATATTGTTATAAGAAGCGTAAGGATTTTTTTAGGTTCAACTCACTTTGCGACATGGGTCGTGAAAGTTTCAAATGAATTTGTACAAGCTCCGCGAATCCTTGATGCGATTCCGTCGTCTCAATGTCACAGAACAGTAAAAAGCACTCGGACATAAATCTCGTTCTCAAAAAGTCCTTATCTTTAAGCTCGAACATCACAATCGCATTTTCACGTTTCCTCTGTTCCGGAGTCAATGGACTGAAAAATAATGTATAATTAGCAACTGATTATGATTAGCCAACACTAATTGCGCCACCCATACTTAAAATTATGATTTATTTGGCAGGAGCGAGCGGCGCTTATAACGATTAATCGGTTCCCTCTGTCGGCGATCTCGCCGACGGCATTAAAAATCCACGGATTAACACAGATTTATCTGTTATCCTCTTCCATATTAACCTTCGCGCATGGCCCTTAAAATGACGATCGCTTCGTGTAAATTCCACGCTTCGAAAATGCCGTGCGCTTAATTAGCAACGAGTCTCAATGCACTTTACCCAATTCTCCGAATATAAAGTCTCGCCAACGTATCGTCCCCCCCCCCCTCTACCATTCCACTCCGCCAAGACTCGAGAGTAGCTCATTATCATGGCGCAACAAGCTAATACGCGAAGAGGGGAGGGCGCAGTTCGCGGAATAGGCCTTTTTTTCGCAGGATCGCCGGTGCGGGCAGTGAGGCAGCGAAGGAGGCAGGTAGATAATGAGGGACGGGCCAGTCTGCGAAAATTACGGGGCGAGCGGGAATGCGCCGATGTCGAGACGTCGACGAGGAGAAGGAACCAACCAATCGCCGACATCCCTCTCAGTCTAACCTGGCCCGTGTGTAATAAAACACCGAGGCCCGGCCGGGTGCTTCAGTCATCCGCTAAACTCCCGTCGAGTTCATCGCGCGCTCCTCGTGACCATATGCATAAACAAAAAAAAACAAAACAACAGAAAAACAAAAAAAAAAACAAAAAACAAAAAACAAAAACAAAAAAAAGCAAACAAGAAAACAAAGTACGACGATGTCTCAGCCCGCGATGAGTGTCGCGTGTGCTCGGGCTTGAGACTTTGATTGTTGAGGTAAGACGTTCGGTCCGCGTGCTCTGCCTCCATTTAAGATAGTTGGAAGAGAATTTGCAATTCTTAGGATATTTTAGGTCGCTTTCGCGTGGCCGCCTTAAGCTTCCTTAATATTTAATATTCTTAATATCACTTAATAATCGATGTATTGGCACTTATGGGACCAGTCTTGATCGATTTCACCGTGGCTATTGACCGTTTACAGACTCTCGTTCCTCCTCCCCCCCCTCCCCGCCCCCACCCCCTCGTTCGGCTATAAAATTTTAATAACAAAAAAAGAAAAAAGAAAGGAAAAAGGAGAAGGGACGAAGAGTGCACGCTTTTGCCGACGTCTCGGTTCATTGATAACATTACGAGATATGCGGAGGTTAAGGGAATGGTTTTGAAATCCAGGAAGATGGTTAAATTTGAGCCGGAGAGAACAATATTTCGGTCAATAAAGCGGAAACTTTTCCTCATACGTACATGCTAAAACTTTCGTCGTAAAGCGGAAATAACGTCTCCTTCTGCACGTTCGTTTTGAATGTCTTCATACCTACGAAGATATCTTCGGGAAATAGTCTGATTTTTACATATGAATCACATTTACCTAGAACATTAATTTTTTTTATCGTGAATACTTCGTATCGCATTAGGGGATGGTATTGGAAAGTAGTGGTGAAAGCTTGCCGACCGTTACTGTCAAACGACTTCAAATTTCGTGCGTTGAGTATTTGTAAATTTAGCAAATCGTTGAAGAAATATGCCTTGACCGTGAGTAATCCGTAAGGTTCGCCGAGTATATTGTTTTGTTCCTTCACCCTGTCTACGTAATATTGGTGAATGAGTTCGGTAGTTTCCAGGCCATAAAGCTTCAGGACTTTTTCAATTTTCTCGAGAACTTTTACGTTCGCCAACTCATCCGCTCCGAGATTGAAAAACTGTATGAGAGTGTGCAACGTTTTATGAAGATTCGAGTAAAATGTAGGTGGCCTTCTTCTCTATAAAACACAACGATAACAACGTGTCAACATTATTCTTATGAGGATTAATAGGTAGGTCAGCAAATTTTAATGAAAGACAAAGAGCGCGGCTATAATAATTAGATAAAGAGGAATCGAATTATGATGGTTCCCGATTACGTGAGCACAATCTTGATAAATTCTTTAATAGCACCGTTCAATGTGCAAACGCAATTGTTAGTTAATGATAAAAATCACGAATTTCTACCTCCAAATTGTTGGAAACTAATTGGTTCAGAGAGTCTGCAATTATTTCCCAAATAATCATTAAGATTCTTTGGAAGTTGTCTTCGTTGAGATTATTGTGAAGTGTAATGAGATTGGAGTCCAAGTATTCCATGAGTCTGTCCATTGAATTACTCTTTGAATCTACAAATTCTGCACCCTCCATCAAATACCTTCGTAACAATTTAAACATTGTATAACAATTTAATTACTTTCTCTCTCTCTCTCTCTCTCTCTCTCTCGCTCTCTCTCTCTCTCTCTCGCTCTCACGCAAACGTTCAAAAGCAACGAATTTCATTTAAACCATTATCGATGCAAAACTAATGTTAAATTTTTCGTTTGTTATTATCATTACAAAGAATTCTTAATTTGCAACTTATAAGTGAACGTTCTTTAGCGAGCACGCGCGCTTATTATTTTGTCATTATTTTGGCCAGAAGGATTTCAATTGACATAAAAATAGTATTTGCATTGATTAATGACGGCTCAATGTCAACATCCGAATATCTTTACGCACACATACATAGGCACATAAATACACATGTGCAGCTAGATATGTAGTCGGTTGTATAGTTAGATTGGAATATGCTCGTTTAAAAGAAAGAAAGGAAAAAAAAATTCAGATTAATTCGAAAAGATGTTAAGGAACGGAGAATTCAAAGGCGCAGCTTGTCAAGGACTAAGGACCGAAAAACATTTCATTACCGTTTCATGGCAGGTGTCATTTTTTGGGCTACCGTCTCGAGCATATCGATAATCTTGTTTTTAACTGTGTCCTTGGCGTTGTCGACGATAAGCTGGAGCGTTTGCTTGCAACGCTCAGCATCCTGCTGACTCTTGCTTTCGGCCAAGGCTTCGATGACGCTGTCGAGGCCAAGATCCTTGGAGAGCGGCTCGATCGATGTCCTTATGTAGTCCATGTTGTTGATCGCGTAGCACCAGGCCACCGACACGTCGAATTGCTGCCCATAAACGTTATTCGCATTTTCAATGTCCTGCCGATGCTGGATCTCCTCCGCCTTTTGGGACATTTTATCGACGTACGTGATGCAGCATTTACATATGTCCTAGAGTGACGGATAAATTGCCGGTAAGTTTGACACATTGAGATTTGAAAAGGCTGTTTACATTCGACCGCTAATGGACAAATAATGTTATTTTAAAAGCCTTTAGCATATGGAGAACTTATATACTAAATTATACGTGCGCGTGCGCATACTCATAAAATATATACATTCGTTTTATTAAATGTTGTATTATCGATGTAGATTCTAATTATGTAAATGCAGTTAATTGACATTTTTTAGAATATCAATTGATATTTTTGTGTTTATAAACATTGGCAAGTTTATATATACATTTTGTTATTATTCACGCGGTAGTATCGATTTTCATTCTATTGTTATCTCTAATTATTGAATTATAAATAAAGACAGATGAGATGATCCGAAGGCTGTGTAATATTATTTTCTAATTATAATCATTTAGTAGGATTGCTAAAGTAATATTTTTAATGCAGTATATTTAGATGTAGTTGTGCTCGGCTATTGTTTAAAATATAATTAGGAAATATCAAACAACTCTACATAGAAAATGCAAATTATCGAACGTAAATTAATTAAAAGTGAAAATAATTTTATTGAAAAACTTTATCAAAATTATTTGAAAGAAATGCATAATTTTCCTCATAATTCATCCATGTATCTAATAATATCTAGAATCATGTCATATCTGAGCAAAGTTTATCATATTACTATATAATCGTTGTATGTGTGTGTGTGTGTGTGTGTGTGTGTGTTATTTTATATCGAGAAAACAATGTCTATTTATAATTTTAAGTCTAATTGAACTTTAGCCAATAAAAAGAAATAATAAATTATTAATGAAAATTAGCTATATGAATTACACCAGACCATATTGGCTTGACAAAATACAGTTCATTTATCTCTTATTTATACCTGACATTAATAAAACGACATTTCTAAATATTATGAATTATTGATATGATCCGAAAAATATTTCAAGCTATTATTTCGAGACGGCGTTGAAAAGTCTAATAACAATTATAAAAAATAAATCTGAATCTATCTCCATTTGGCCGTGGAGCCGAATACTTAACACGATCGCCATTAATAAAATATAATTTAATAATATAGGTAAATAGTTCGGGAAAGCTTAACCGTAAATGAAATACTTGCATCAACAATTTTCGCTATAAACGCGTAAGCTCCTTCGATGTCGGGCCAGGCGAGCTGCGTCCAGAAAACCTTAATTTGATAAAAGATTGTTAGAGTGTCGACGGCACTGGAACTATACTGTACGCTCGCGTCGACGGGCTGCAAATTGTCAAATTCAACTGCCCGATCGATTCTTTTCATGGCTTTATAAACTGCTATTTCCAGCCAGTGCGCGACAGCAGCTCTGAACCAATCGTAATAACTCTGCACTTTAATGCTGTCCAAGTCGTCGGGGCAGAAGTTTTGGCCAACCCTGAAAAATTGCGCATTCGTTGGCAAATGCCGGCGACGACGAGGCTTTTATCGCCGAGGACCTCCTAATAAAATTATGAACTTACGCTGCGAATCGCTGAATGGCTAGATAAAGCTCAAAAAGCGTGGTGCCCAAACTTAATTCCGGATCCTCGGATGTTTCGATCTCGATTCTCTTCAATCTCCCGCAAATGTCCTCCACTATCACCATGCACAGATCGCTGACTCTCTTCTCATACATTATGTACAAAGTTTTCGTATACGGGAAGTCGATCGTTCTATAAAATAGTCGTTTCGATTATCGGAGGTAACAATTTCCAATAACTATGAATAAATTATTCGCGTAAAGCGTTTAGGTTGAATTATATCACGCACTTAACGAACAATTTCTCGTATATTTCCATAGCACGTTGTAAATCTATTCTTATTAACTGAATTATCTTGATGTGGTACTTGAGTGCTTCTTCATCGGAGTCTTCCTTCAAGCTGTTATTCGCAACTATGTAGTCGAACCTTCAATCATTAAACGGTATAGAGTGTTTCGATTTAAACTTCCTTAGCTCAACAAAGTGCGAAATAATTGCATGCAAACAAAATTACCATTCGGCTCCACCTCGAATCACAGCGTACTCTAGTGCCTCGGGGACACTAACTCTGTCATCATCCAAAATTTCCGGCGGAAACCATGAATAGATTTTCGTCGGAAACAAATTTACATTTTGCGGAACTTCGAGGGTCGATAATATAGAGATCGTCCTAAAAATCAATTTGTACGCATTATTCTTCACAGTCAGCGATAATACCTCTCGCATTAATTGCCATCGAATATTTCTTCATTTGGATTCTTATCGAGGATGAAATCTCGCCGCGTCGTGAACAAACTCACTTTAACATCCATCTTGACAAGAAATGTCAAAAGAATGTCACGCGCGTCCGTGGAGATAGATAAACGAGCCGCGAACTCCTTCAATGTAATGAAAAAGATTTATAACGTTCGTCGGCATCTTAAACGTTTTTCTCACTTCCGCGAACTTTAAACTAAATTATAATTTAACTACGAAATTCTCCGTAGTTTTGGTACCCTACAAGTGCCCTTAACGTCCTCTTCGCGATCCTAGGCAGACGTACTCTAATAACAAGCATTGCTTATCTCAGAATTAATTGCGAGATATCAAGTAGCGTCGCGAGTATTATTGAGCCAGAATATGAAGCCAAGCTAAGGGGAAGAATGGAGAAGTATCGCGCAATGGGAAAGGTGGCCCGGGCCCCCGAGACTAAGCGTAAATAAATAAGGAAAGAGGGCGTGATCGGTGAATGTGTCGTTTACAACTCACGAGGATGGTCATCGACCGGCACACGCGGCAGGGCCAATCGTCCGTTCGTTTTCCCGTCCCAAGACGAGCGCCAGAAGTCCCGAAGCGAAAAAGTCGGAATCTACTCTCACCTAAGAATAGCGGAGAGTTGTTTAATCGCGTTTTCCTTATCGATCGCCAGCCTCCTGATTTTCCTCAGCACGCCCAATCCCGAGTGGAGAATTCTTCTGGCCGCGTCCCAGAATAGTTTGGTCTGCTCGGCGTTGAGACGGCCGGGGCTCTTGACCGGGACCGCGAGCTCCTCCGCCAGCCGCAGGAAGACGGCGAAGCTGAGCTGATGCTCCTGGTGAACGGCGGCAAACTCGGTCCAGCGAGCGAGTGAGAGGAGCTCCTGACGTAGGCCGCGCTGCACCGCGTGCTGGAGCACGACGACCTCGGCCGCACCGGACCAAGTGCCCTGCCACGCGTACCGCTCGACCTTACGGGCCTCGAGCTCGTGGAGCAGTAGGATGCGCAGTAGGTGCCGGTGCTCCTGGAAGGCGACCTGGACGTTGTGCTCGGTATTGAATGCCAGTCTCACCTTCACCTGGCCCCGGCGCTTCGATTTGTTTTTCTTATCGAGTGACAGCCATAGCACGTTGCCCGTCACTGGAATGTCCTAAGGGGCACGCGCAAATTTGCGAAAAATTATGCGGCCCTCGAGGCTTTTACTTACCTAACACGAAGAAGTTGTGTTGTTCTTATCTTCCGGACACGTAAAAAAATTTCTCTCCCCCCGACTGGGAGCTTTAACGGAAGGGACTTTGTAAATGCCCAAGAACGACGTTGGGGCTAATTAATCTTTTTTTTTTTTTTTTTTTTTTTTTTTTTTTATTTATTTATTTATTTATTTATTTATTTATTTATTAAATTAATTATAAATTAAATATATTTTATTTATTATTAAAAATTAAAAATTATTAAGAATTAAAAAATTAATTATAAATTAATAAAAACTAAATTAATCATAAATTCCACTTAACGTGGATAGAGCTCGTTTTATAAAGAATTAAAATTTTCAAAATTCGTAATAATGGCTGTTAATTGCCGAATACGAGGTCGATGTATCGTTCGGCCAATCTATCGTTCCATTATTTTCCTACCTTGAGCGGTATGCGACTACTGCCGATGAATTCATTGTCGTGATTACCATTAGTAGCGGTAATGGCGATTTCTTTTGCTAATTTCACCAGACCTCGAACGCCTTTGATGCTCTTCACTTTGCTCATTTTTTCGGGCACCGTTTCCGCTGCGTCGAAATCCCTATTGCGTAACGGTCACATTAATTGTATTTCAATGTTTCAACGAAAGCTGATCGAAAAAAAGTATAATGTAAAATACGTATAGCTAGCTCACCATACTTCCAGATACAGCACGTCATTTTCCGGATTATCCAGGGGCCTGAAAATTGTCGGAGCAAGTCAATGTAAATATTATTAGTGCCCTCGGGATTTATTTAAACACTCGTCTCGTCATAGTCACAACGAAATTATGATAATCTGGGAGAGAATTTAACGAAGCGAATTTCACGTAGCGCGTGAATTGAAATTTTTGGCAAAAGTAGCAAAATACCTACATTTCAAAATGCTCTTGCCAAACAGGTGTCAAGGTCTCGGTCTTAACAGCCGTGTTGTATCGTCTTGTCGGTGCCGATTCCAGATATAGAACACAAAATGGGTCGCTTTTCCCATTGGCATCCTTGGAAACTAACTCTTTGGCCTCTATTACTTCTATATTTAAGTGCATTTCGGGTGCCTACGTGAAAACAATCGTCTCGTATAATTATGTTTACAAGTGCATAATTGTAATAGGCAATTTATCAATTATTTATCAATTTACAGGTCGGTTAAGAAAGCCCTAGGCGATGTTCAATTTTAAATTTCAAATTTTTGTTTTACGTTTTAATTTACGAGCACAGCTTATTATTACATTGTCATTTGATTTTACTCTGTTCTCTTTAATTGTTTTTTTTATTTTATTTATTTATTTATTTATATCGATTGATTCTCTAAGCGCAAGAGCACTTTTAGTTGACGATAGTTTATTTCATTTACTAATCCAATTCTCCATCACTCTTGCATAAGACAAAAATTTGATAATCCAATTCTTATTGAAAGATAAATTATTTTTTATGAAATAGAATTAAAATGAAAGTACCTCCATCTGACGCGTCTCCTCCATAACTCTTTCATGAGTTTCATCGTCGATACTAAATGCTTTTCGTAAATATTCGATAATTGCATCTTGTTCTACTTCATCGGCTACGTCAAAACCAATTTGGTGCTGAGTTATGAATAAAAGGGCAGCATAAAGCTCTTCGATCTAGAAATATTTAAAATATTTATACACGAAATTGCGAAAGAGCATCGATTTAATTTTACTCGTTACAAACAAAACAAAAAAATTAAAAAAACAAAAAACTAAAAACAAAAGAAAAAATTATTAATTTCTGCATCTGAAAAATTTCCAATAATTGCCATTTCATTGAAAGATACTTATGCAGCATTTTACGTATAATAATAAAAAATTTTAATGAAAATAAACTAGGCTAACGCACTACGTATGGCCCATATTTCAGCTAAATATAAGAAAATAAATGGCTATATTGAAATGAGAGTGGATTTTTATGTAAAATTTCTGAGTAATGTAGAAGAAAACGATGTTGCATTTTTCGTTGTTTCTTTTCTTTTCTTATTTTTTTTTTTTTTTTTTAAGCAATGTTGAGTTTAATTACAGTCGAATAACAGATGTATTATTTAATCGTCAACAAATCTCGAAGCCCGACAATAAAAATGCGAAATATAAAAACGAGATTTAAAAGTATAAGATACTCATAACAATAAAAAAAAAAAAAAAATAATAATCTACGATCAGCGCTGATCCGAGAGACTTTACGAAAGCATAGGCACAGATCAATTCAAACGCATACATTTATTTGATCGGCAAACCATTAAATAAACAAGAATCTCTAACTCAAGGTCAAAAGCTTTTGAGCACTTTATCGTACTAGACTGTGCGCATTCGTTATCTCGGACGTTACAGCTTAATGATTTATCATTCGCGAGAAAGACAATGCGGAAAAATCGTAGGCTCGCGTTGAGAAAATCTGCAATTTCAGTGGCGCATGCGCGTCCCATCAATTGCAATAGCAGGTCAATCCGCTAATTCACGATGAATTAAGTCGCGGACTCTTAATGGTCGTCGTTTACAAGCCAAAGCGAATTACGCGCCGGACGAATGGACAAAGACGAAGTAACAAGCGGGCGCTTATATTATAATATGCGCGTCCGGTGTCGATGTACTTGCCTCGAAGTATTTTCCACGCCAAACCGGCATGTCTTCGCACAGCCCCGGGCGCAATCGCTGACCCGATATCTTTATATCCCTTAGCGATCTGCTCTTCGGCGTACAGCGGCTCACTTTTCTTGATCACGTCACATGTTCACGATCACGCGGCAATTTTTCTCACGATGCTTTTCCACTTCGATTCCCAGCCGCTGAATGCAGCGACTATTTGGCGATCTACTTTGCACTCGGCGTAAATAAACGATTGAACGGTATCCCTTTGAGCGCGGGTAATTCGATATTTGCGAAGAGTCTTTGTCAACTTAATTCTTCCTACTTAGATTTGCCTTCGTAGAATGGCTTCCCTGTACGACGCCTGTACCAACAATTGTCATTTCTCCTCGAGCTTTAAGAATCGCAAAATTATTAATACTATTACGAGCATTGAATAATTCATACTTGGGACTTTGCATTTTTATTGCATGGAAGCGAAATATTTTTTACAGAATGTTGATTAAAGTGTCATTGCGTTACAATTAACGTACGACGAAACGCACTTTCTATGCTTTTATCATTATCTTCCAATGGAAGTAACCAATAATTTTATTTTCATCGTTTAGAGAAGCAAAATAGATACACATATATACGCATACGCGTTCATTGCTTTCTACAAAATATTCACTTTAATATTGCTTATTTACGACATTATTGCGTACATTATCGTTATATTAGAATATTATGTAATATTAATGGAAGATAGAGTGACATTATTGATTCAATGAAAACCTTGATGCAAGAAGTCTGAAATGCCAAGTGAAATTCATTTAAATGAAATGTTTGTATCTCAGTATAAAATAGTCCAGTAGTTCGCTTTATCTCTCACATAATAGCAATTAGATCATCAATAATGTTTTGCCTTAGAGCAGTAAAAATTCACTTTTCAAACAAAGTCTGCTTACTTGCTCTGTTAGTCGAACATTACAAAATACTTGAAATTAAAATATTTACGCCCTATCATTGTTAATTCATCGCCTGTTTTCGTTAAAATAATAATACACTACTATGAATAATAAAATTATGATACTGAGATTTATTATTTTTTAAAAAGTTTTTAATTATTATTTTGTCAAAAAAAAAAAAAAAAAAAAAAAAAAAAAAAAAAAAAAAAAAATTAAAGATAAATTTTTTACAGATTTTTTTCGGATTTTAGTACCAAGAGCAAATATAAATAACTTCTATGACAATTTGAAAAATATCTTTAAATTCTTAAGAGAACTTTATTATTTTAGTGAATTTGCTACAGCACTGAAAAACAACACTTACACATAAATGAATTTGCTGTTAAAGCATAAAATTCTTTGTTAATGCTCAGACAATAATAAAACCCATGCTTTGTGCTTTCTTAAAATTTAAGACTTGCAGTGGTCTTTATGAATATGAAATTAAATTTAACGATAAAGCACGAAATATTGTAAAGATATTCAATGAGATAATGAGTAATCAACTCGAATTATTTATCCGCAACAAAACTCGTTTCTTACTTTCTACCTTTCTATTATGTCTATTATAAAAACCTTCATACATTGGTTTGAATTTCATGCTTTAAAATGTCCATTGTAAAGTGCATTTTAACGTACTTCTTCTCAATTCTACTCCCACTAATTAACACCCCAAAAAAGAAGCTTCGATTCCCCCACCTCCTGCCCCGGCCCGAATAAACACACTGACGAATGGAAACCCTCGTGCTGCCAATCAACTGTCGCTTAAGCATTGATCATTCGTTCCGTGCTGCTCGAAACCCTCGTACTTTGCACGACAATATTTCACTCTGACAGTCCATAAAGCAACAACGCCCAGAAAGACTCCTTCGCAATGATATCCAATTCCATAATCGCTCTTTTAAAGAGATGAAGAAGCGAGCGATCGGGCCCGAGAGCTTAAACGCTCGTGAAATCCGATCAACAACAGTGAGCAAGGCGCGAACGATCGTTGGCGCGGTTTACTCGTCGTTTGGACCGTCAGCCGCACTAGAATCACTCTAATTGTCGGTCAAACTGAGACTCGAGCCATACGTACGTACTCATGTACGTACAGCGAAAGCTCATGCGCGATAAACGGTTCGAGCCAAGTGCGCCGGGTGAAAGAAATAGTCGAGTTAGCGAATAAAGCTCCGCGAGCGGCCGAGTCCGAGAAGGAGTCCGTGCTGAAGACGATAAGAGCAAACTTTCCGCCCCGGCGGGATCCAACGCCGCACTGAGGGACACCAGGAATAGCCAGTGGTGCGTCCGAGCACTCGGACTTCATGCGCCGCTGCCTCCTCTATTCCCTGATCTATCGCTCGATCTCGCGCCCGAACGAAACTCGCGCCGAGATCTGCGCCCGAGAGACTAACGTGTCGAGCGACTCGCCAATATCGCCAATAGCCAACGGTAGCTGCGCTTCCGGATGCTGTAGCGCCGATTGCGAAAATCCCACGGACGATAATACGCTGACGATTAGGCGCCGATAAACTTCGATCGCTGCACAACCTCGGGATCTCGCGGCAAACTCTCGACACTTGGACGCGGCGCATAACGGGTCGGGAGATAAACGGCCAAGTGCATAATTCTGATGCAATGCCACAGTCTAACCCGGCACCAGTCAGTCGCCCACGCTGAATTCCAATTCCGAGATTTAGCGTGGCGGGAGGGAGGGAGCACTAGGAAAGATCCCCTTAGGACCGGCGAGAGTGGCGGACGGGCGGAATTTTTATCGGTAGACGGTAATACGGGGGCGGGGGGGGGGGGGGGCTTGATGGGGACGGCAATGCGATGCTTCGCAGGCGTTACACAAGCACGGTGAGATAAGCCTCCGCGGGTGACGGAGGGGACGCTGAAAGCTCGGCTTCCCCGTGACGCGCCGAGACTTTCGAGAGGCTAATAATCCGGGGGTCGATATCTTAACCTCGTGAAATCCATCCGCGAGTACGCGAAGAAGCGAGAAAATAAACGACACGCGAATGCTCGAAGATTGGCCTCGTGTTCGCTGCTTTAGCATCATCGTTTCCAGAATCTTTTAATTCGCCGGCAAAGTGCGAATTATTGGTCGGCAAATTTCAAGCGAAATCACTTTATAACGAAGCGGTGATTTTTAACGCCGATTTATCAGGCATCGACAGCTGCCGATTAATCCGCTGATGGACATGTTGGTTTTGATGAGTCAGAGAGTACGAGTGCACGGGAGAATGAGTTTATTTATTGCTAGGTAAGAGAAAATTAAGACATTGTATTTGAGGTGAAAGCATTTTGCATTGTATGTGTATGGCTTCAGGAATTTAAGAAGCACGATGGAAATGCCGTATAAATAGATTTTTTCATCTATTTCAATTATTTTCATCTGCTTAAAGGGTGACTGAACATCTTGAAAGCTCATCGTAAGAAACTAATACGCCATTTCATCGACTCGTTAAAACAACATTTTATGCTTTTACAACCGCCCGCGAAAGCGCGCACACACACACACACACACACACACACACGCACACGCACACATACACACAGACACACGCACACACATATATATATATTATTCGTCATTATATGATTTTCGTTTTAATTATGAAATCTATTTATGCCAGTCACTATCAATTCAAATTTATATATATATATATATATATATATATATATGTACTATATAAAACGGTTAATTAATAACTCGAGACATTAGTTTAAACGGCTGGGCACTTAGAAGATTATTAGATTCTTAAAGACGTTCGCGTAAATACTTGGCTTTTACAAATAGATTTCATGAAGAGTCTATGGTGGACGTTGTGCTCGAGGGCCTTACAAAGTAACATAAATTTATTTCCGCTCGCTCGTAGAATTAATAAATTCCAGGCTGCCGAAAGATAATACTCGATCTTATCGTCAAACTCTCTTCTCATTTTGCTCTCGCATTTACTCACCGACTGCTTTTTGCTCTCGACGCGAATAACCATTGGAACGATAGTCTTCTTCTTTTTCTTTTTACGCGCAACGGCGAAGCCCCGAATTGCCGAGGAACCCAAGACCGGTATTATCACTACTGTTGCCATTGCCTCGACGGCAGTGCACCAAGGCAACTGAGCGACGTAGGCCCTACCGACACGAACCCTCATTTCGAACATCAATAACGGGGAGTCCTGCAATCAATACCAGGACTCGACAAAGGAGAGCCCCACGAATCATTTTTGTATATAGGATTTTAATGCTGCTTTAACGCGCGAGACTGCTCAATCAGTTCTGGCCTCGTGCCATCCTGCCTTTTTCTCGCATTTTATTTCTATTTCTATTTATTTATTTGCCGACCTTTCTTCTTCGTTTTGTGCGTATAAAGTGCGATAGGCCGATGCGCATCCCAGGGCATTATCGTGCAGGCTCGAGCAATATCGCGGAGAATAAATTAAGTAACTCAAACAAAGTCGGAGAGTATGACAAGAACTTGACATTTTATACAGTAAAGATTGCACTATCGATCCGACAACTTTCAAATGCTTCGTGTCCGTATGATAAAAAGAATCGGCAAAGAAATAAAAGTAAAATATACGATAATAATTAAACGTCGTTGAAAGTCTGCAATATAAATAAATGAGTAGTTAGTAACCGAATGAAAAGTCATCTCTATACTTTATTTAGTCAATAGTCATAGAATAAAAAGTTAAAATTACAATTCGATTATGTTGAATATGGATTTCGACGTGCAGCTAGAAAAAGGATTTTTAAATTAAAAATATTTTTTAACTTTCTGTATCGAATGGATCTGGCGTTACGAAATGATTTTTAAATTGTCGTTACGTCCCGTATGAAATTGTGATCTAGAATGAAAATAATCCCCCCCCCCCGCCTCCACTCACCCCGCCGACGCCGCTTAAAAGACATTTTTACTTTTGTTTTTTTTAGCAACATTTTCTCACTTTCGTATATTGAATTTATTTTATAGTTTTAAAATGTCAGATATTTTTATGTACTTCTACAGACCGATAATATTTGTCTAAAATATCGTACGACACAGGTAACTTGAACTAAAAGCTTTTTCCTTATAAGGACAAATTTATTGTATGCATTGAAGATCCGAATCATCTTGCATTATACGACTTTTTACGTCAATGTAAGTATTGTATTTTGTTGTAAAGTTTTTATTATGGAGCATTATTATCCTTCGCAATTTTCAATATGTCCGAAGTAAAATACACAAGGAACGAATGACTATTAAGCTTTGCAAATGAAAATAAACATTTTGAAATAAAGGCCATAATAGTTCAATAATCGAAGCAATAAATAAATATGTTATGTGACGACTATTCTCAAATATTTGACAATTCTCACAAAATGAAATATTTTCAAATGAAAGTAATAAAAGAAACAGCAAATTTTTCAGTCAAATTAATAACAAATACATGATCGATAGCTCGTATAACCGTATTCCAATGATCCTTTATTATAATTATCCAAAGTGTTTTTTTATTATTTGTAATTATATTTTGCGTATATAAGAAACAACACGTGTATTAATTATTCATTCAATTTGTGCACGAAACAATTATTGCTCTCTCTCTCCCTCTCACTCTCTCTCTCTCTCTCTCTCTCTCTCTTTTCTTTAATTTCTTTCTTATTTATTTAATCATTTATTTATTTGCCTATTTCACTAAATAATGGAATAAATAAATAATTGCATGATTATATGAATATAAGGATAGAATTAAGACTTCTGTTGTGCCATGCCCGATATGAAATTGTCAGTATAAAGGAAAATAATTTAATTATCTATAATTCGAGAATACAGAACAGCCCCTTTGAAGTACTAGGCAATTAGATCTTTCAGCAATCTTTACTGATAATGAAGAGGCCGACTGCAAATAAAATTAAGGAAGACTAATGGTAAATGACGAAATTAATAAATATTTTACGAGCTGAAAATACCGTTTAATTCACATTATTCACAAGCTTAGGACAATTAATCGGATTATTATTGTAAAGAGGCAATCATATTTACGTTTCCTTAATACATATTTTATTGTTAAATAATTTCATAAAGAAGGCGATAAATTTACAAAATATTTTTGACATTCTAATAGTATCTTTACATCCCTATCTATTTATATTTGTTGTTATAATTATTATAGGTATTATCGTTAATAAAAAATTTTATACGGATATCATGAAGATATTAATCTTACAATAAATATTGAAAGAATCGTGAGAGAGAAAAATCTTGAGAGAATTGTGAATCAATGAATGACAATCCTTATAATGGTCAATAATACACTAGAGTAAAGTATCAGAATCCTTAAATATTTGATGAACGAGGATTTATTATTTTGAGATTAATCATCGCAATCTGTCAATCGATACAACTTCAATAATAAATTCGATTGTTCGTTTGTTTAATTCGGCAAGCTTTATAAGTTGCCGTAATTGTTTTTGATATTGAATCTAAAAATGGCCCTAATTCCAAATGTTTCGAAAGACGTAAAAAATGTTCGTACTTATCGTTAGGAATGTTCGGAAAGATCCATAATAACCATTTTCAATACTTATTATATTTAGAAATTGAAAATAGTTATTTTAAGTCGTGTGCGCGCGTGTTTGAAAATACCAATGTTATTAATCGTCGAAAGCCTTTTCGTTAGAAGACTTTTATCTATATAATTGCGAAAAGTACCAATGATCGAGAAATATGCTTGCCAAGAAATAGAAGCTTTTTGAAATTAGTCGATTGGAGAAATAGTTGTGACTTTATGATGTTGGGGAAGTAAATTTTCACGCCCGAGGCTACACTTGGATTGAGTAACGCAGGTAAAATGCAGCTTCTATCATCCATCTGAGAGTGTGGAACATTGAAAAGTGACTTTGCACACAGTAGGATCGGATAATAATCTGAAAAGCTATTTAATAATTCATAATAGTCGGCCCTTCCCGGGTATGACATTTCATTTTTCCTTCCCTCTAGGCAATCCCATTCCCCTCCTCTTCAACCTCTCATAAAAGCGATAAAGAAATGTTCGCACCAAGAGGCGAGAAGTGCTAAATTTAGTCGGGCATCTCCATTGGCATTCTGAACGAGCGGTGGATCATCCTGTGTTAAGCAAGGTCAGCGACTGAGTCCGAATACTCACGTTAAGCCCAACGGACTCGGCGACGACGTCGTACACTGTCTCGTGCTCCTCGGACTCGCTGTCTGTCTCGGGCACGGCCTTGTCCCCTCCCCTCAGGCAACTCTCCCGCTCCGCGTAGAGCGCATCCCTCTCCTCGACCACGCAGAAGTTCTCGTCCTCGTTGTCGGCGACTGGGGGGCAGCCCTCGGACTCCTCAGCCCCCGGAGGCGGCAAACTTTCCTCGAGTTGCTGCTCCTGCGCCCTCTCAGCTAGACGGGTGCCGAGCTTCTCGAAGAAGCTACCATCCTCCTCTTGGATCCTTGTTCAAACAGATGCTCGCTTAACATCGGCCCTCGTTAAAAGTCACGCGCGCTCAAGTATTTTTACGGAGGGCACTTTCGCCACGAAGATACATGCGGGTCTCGAGCCTCTCGCTTGCATGCCACGCAACGCAATTGCTCGGGTCGCCCTAGGAATTCCAAACACTCCCGTAAGGAATAATTAGCTTAGCCGTTGCGGCGAATCCGTTAATGGACCGACTCGCAGCCTGACTATCGTCCGCTATAAGCCGCTGCTTACGCTTTTATATTTTTAACTACATTTCAGCGATCTTCGGTGCCGATCCAAGCTGATCTGCTTTCGATCAAACTCGCCGGATACTTGCTTACTCGAGAGAAATCGTGATGAGACGCACAGAATTATTCTTATTGTTAGTCTAGCGCTGCTCAAGATTCTTAAGTAATTGAAAACATTGGGAAGTTGCGAATTCAATGTACGTAAGCACTTAAGATTAGGAGTAGTTTTTAAAGTTGGCTAAACGTTAGTCTCGGTAATTGGCAAACATCTCTGCGTATAATTATAAGTAATTAAATGATATGATTAAATCATAATTTACGTAATGCACGTTATTTTATAAATCAATTTGAATATTTTACGGAAAAATTATTCTCAGGTTTAACCAGAATGTAATAATATTCCAACAATAGGAGAGACCTTCAAAAACAAAAAAAAAAAAAAAAAAAAAAAAAAAAAAAAAAAAAAAAAAAACAGTGTTTCCAATGTACGAATGGAGAAAAACAAATACATTTTCATTTTATCTCTAATGCCGAATGAACATTGTGTTAATATTTGCTAAACTACAGACATTTAAAATAACACGATACTTTCTTTAAACATTATCTGGATTGAAATTTTGTCCATTGCTTATCGTACAATTAATATATTACGATCTAATAGATAATAAAAGATAAACAGCTGACAGCTTTTTAAAATTATGTTTACCTTTTCATGATTTATGATGCATCGTGTATTTCTCTTTTAATATATTCATATAATTAAATTAAATTTATTGCTTGTATTTATAAGCTACCATGCTATAAAATGTTTAAAATATTGATCAATTAATAAACATCGACTAAATATATTTCTAATTAAATATTATAATTCCTGAATAATGTTTAAAAATCTTCATTTTTAATACATGTATGTGTTATAACGGCCCAATCTATTAATGATAAATAAAACTTCTTGGTAGAGATTAATAAATCTTACAATATTAAGAGCAGATATAATTTACTCAATATTAGAACAATTGACTAAAACCTTTTTGTACTAAATATTACATGTACTTTAAATTACACGGTTTCACTGACAAGAAAACCAAGTTGTTCCTCGTAGTAAGTATTTTGTGGAAAACTATTTTAAAACTACATAAATTTCACATATCGATTTGCACTTTAAATTGTTTATGTATACCAATGGAGTAAGAAAATATCTATAATATGAATGAGTAAGTGAGCAAGCCGAACTTTTACCATTACTTGACTCCAAGCCGATCTTAAATTACAAAAATTTCGTTTAACTATCTGAAGGAAAAATTGAATCGGAGAATGATGAAAGTAGATGCTGACCAAGTTTTATAAGGCAAGAGTTTGCCGTGGCCTTTTCTAAATTATTTCCTTAATTTTCCTTACTATTATTTTACGGAACGACATTATTTAATTTATACATTTCTTATGAATTCTTATGAATTCTGATTACTGAAACGAACTGTTGTCATGAACGATTAATTTTATTGACTTGTCCTTAAAAATTGACGATTAAAAATAGAATTAAAACTTTTAGCTAATCAGTTTATGCACCAAATTCGATGATAATGAAGAACATGAAACTTGCTTTAAGGATCCATAAAAATATAGATTAAATAATTCTCATAGTCTTATTTCGAAATAAGAAGTTATTGTACACGAACACTGCATTTGAATAATCATGTTGTACGATTTATTTTTCAGTAATTTTACTCGGCACTAGCCCTTTTTTATTATTATTATTATTATCATTGTTGTTGTTGTTGTTGTTGTTGCTGTTGTTGTTATTGTTGTTGTTTTTATTATTATTATTATTATTATTATTATTATTATTATTATTATTATCATTTATTATTATTTATTATTATTTATTATTATTAATTATTAATTATTATTAATTATTAATTATTATGAGGCTTTAATTTAGCTGAATTGTCGTTTAAAGGTGCTCGCTCGTTCGTAATAATTTCCTGCACTTCGCGTTAAAAGGAACAAAAAACATTGCGTCGATAATCACTCGCTAGTTACTTGGTCAGCCAACTTCTTCTTCATCTTCTTCTTCCGTACGCTCCACGATAAAAACATTTCATCGCATCGAAAGGAAAAACGAAAAGAACGCGAAAAGCCCGTAAAAATACTTGTATGCCTTGAGTTATTGCGCGTGCAAATTACATGACATATTATTACATTCTCAGTGTCGTCGCAATGGTGTTAGTGAAACGGTGGGCCAACTTTCGCATGACTCTCGCCCAACAGCATACAGATAGATCACTCTCGGATGATAATCCACCAATTCTCCACGTGAATTACAGCAGTCGCAGCCCGCGCGTGTACTAACTGACTAACCTACTAGCAGCCATTCGTGCTTACTACTTTTCGAAATGTACCGCCAACCTGTACATCGCGCATCATAGGTTCGCGTATTCACACACAGTCGAGCGTAGGCGCGACACAAATCCCTTGCGCCGAGCGTCTGTGACATCCGTCGGCGGTTACACGGGGAATATTGACGAATTATTGTGCGAGCGATGAGTCGAATGAGGAGGAGCGCGAAGCGAGAGTATCGATAAGCCAGGGAAATGTCGAAATTCTTTTAGTACTTGTAAAGATGATTTGTACAAGGCGAATTAATAGCCCTGTAAATATGAGAGATTATGAGATATTTTCTTTACGTGTGTGGGGTTAATTTTTATTGCACATCCATTGAACCGTCTTATGTTGGAAAATGATTATACTAAGCAATGGGGTGAATGGAAATTAATGTGATTTATGCCCGGTTGATTGGCTTAAGCCGATACAATAAAGCAACGACATTTATTCCTCACTGTGCATTTGTATTGTCTCAGCGATGATAATATAATAAATTTCGATGTCAAGTCAGTAAAAATAATTTTATTACAAGTATTATCATTGTAATGTTAAAACAAATCTAGGAAATAATATGAGTCACACAATAAAACATCTGGAAACAATAAATGATATTTGAAATGGAGTTGGCTATTTATTTTTCACTTTATAGCCTCATATCAGGTATTCGTATTCGTATTCGTACGACTGATAAATCCATAATCAGGGATAGAATAGACTTATTTATACATAACCATTAACTCATGAGTCAAAAGCACAATTCCAAAATCTTTTCTGATATTACGCTATTTTTAACCCAAGAGTCTACTTTAAACGATAAGGCGCTTCCACTCTCATTAAAAATCTCTGAAAATTAAAGACGGACGGGGCCAATTCTTTTATTTCGAGCAGGACTAAGTTTAAAATACGGACGTATAATATTAAGATTTTTTTTTATTATTGTTTCAAGAGTCATTATTGTTCCGATAAATGGAATTTAATTGAGCATTTGAAAATTCTAAAATTACCTAATAATTTTTAAAGTATCACATTGGAAATAATAAATATTGCTTCTGGAATAATTTCAAAGTCTATTTTAATTGCATTCCTTTAATGTTTATTTAAAATTAATTATCCCCAATCACATAATACATCATTTTAAAATAATTTCAACTAAAATCTCCATAAGTTAATTCAAACGTCCTGATATATCCTAATCACCAATTATGCCGCTACTTAAATTACACTGATGCAGATAATTTTTATATTTACCGTTTTTTTTTATATAATTAATTTTAATAATTGTACTGAAGATTTTTCAATTTCATAATTGTCCCTTCAAATAGATGTATGAGAATGAGATAGATAAACTCTTTCAATAAATTGCCATAGAACCAGCCATACAACCATCAGAAAAATTATTACCACTAATGTAGTTTTTCCAATTTTTTCTATAAAATTACCGCATTTTTAAGAAAAATATACTTTATTTTATGAGGAAAAAACAAACAAACTATGTACTATTTCAGTATTGATTCCACGATTATAATTGTCTAGTAATCTCTATTAATTGTGCACATAGGCATGTTGTACTACTACATTATTACATGGTACTATAATTATTCAATAATATTAAATTCCATAGAAAATGACTGATTATTTATTATATCAATCAAATCACTAAGTTAAAATAAGGTCAAAGTTTTTCACATTACAAATATATTTATAAATTCCGGTAATTACGTGTTATATTCAACAAAAAAATTTTATACTCGTTTCTTTAAATGCCAGACAATTCAGAAAAACTTATACGTTAATTTTAAATATTTTTTTTTTTTATAATCCATGTCAATGCAGATCTTTTGTAAGACAAGAATTGGATTTCTCCATCCCAATAAATATGTTGATACATTTTTTTTTTATTATTTTTATTAATAAAATTTTATACAATATCTAATTAAGTATAGAATGGTTAATGACAATTCTATTTTTATATTCTCAATTAATCAGTGCCATAGTTTAAAATTACATTATTAACCGCCTTATCCTCTACAATTATAACAGTTTCCCGTAAATACAGTTTACGAGACTATATTTTCCTATTATCGATATTTTTCTATTTGATCGATAAAAAGTACTTTATTACTTTATTGAGCATTATGATCCATTAGGTTGTAAAGTGAAGAATATTTAGAAAAAATATTGAACGTAAAATTTATTCTTGCTATTTAAAAATATCATTGATCACGAATTTTCATTATTCCCATTAGGAGTATAAATCTAAAAATCACATATATCAAACACATACTAAATTAATATCGATTAAAAAATAATTTTTTTTTAAATAATAGCGGACTCTAGACAATGGCATTAAACGTCATTGCCTTACATTATATTAAAGAGGCAACAACAATAGTTCAGAATTATAATTTTGATTTGTAACTGATTAAATTTCAGCCCTATATATATATATATATATATATATATATATATATATATATATATATATATATATATATGGTTGTTGTTGTTGTCATTGTTGTTAAAAGTAAGTTAAAAGATCGTACTCTTCCTTACTAAATTAGTCGATACCAGAACTATTTGTAAGAGCTTTAAAATTTTACGAACCAAAATGTAATAACGAGTTTTCCCACAGGTACAAGTAGCCAAATAAAATTTAATATTAATTAATGAAAAGTAGTGAATGTTAGATTAAAAATGTAATGAGTAGGAGTACTTATTTTCATTGTTTGTATTCCCTGTCAAGATGTTTCATCATTTTCAATGTGCATTTGAATACACGTGACAATAGATACTTTATTAATACAATTTGAATATTTAAAATAAATTTTTACCACCAAACTACTTGGAAGTTGGCGTGGAAAGCAACCTTGAATAAAACAAAGTTTTAGGTCATGCTAACGTACTACATTTTGTAAGCCAACTTGTGTATCACAAAAAATTGTCCTACTACTGATGATTTTTAAATTAACTTTCTCATGAGAGATAACACATTATGGCCAATCTAATTTATAAAATGGATTATTTATAATAGACATGTCTCGTGTAACAATTTTAATAATTACTCAGTCAATAGTAACTTTTTCTCATATAAGTCAATTGAATGTGAATATGAAGAAAATTAAAGTACAGACTGAATAGAGTTGAAAATTAACAATATAAACGATGTAAGATGATAGTTATACTGTTAGCACAATTATAAATTATGTATTCCGATGACAATGACGCGCATCAATAGCACAGACGTAATAGTTATAATGTTGTAACTGGGTAATCCATTTAATCTGAGCGTTTATATCTTCCTATACATTTTCTCAATATTCAACACATTTTCGTAATGAATGCAAATATGGACAATCCTTTCGTTCAAAATATTTGCATAAGACGATTTCAATGTACGTGTGAACTATCAATTTCTTCAGAAACTAATATTTGGGTCTATATTATTCGATAATAGAAATATATGTGTGCGTAAAACACGTAATGTGTGAATAAATACTAATTTAATTCCACTTTCCAAATAAAACATACATTCAAATAAACTCAAATAAACTCATATCAGCATCATGATTAAATTATTTAAATAATATCAATGTACATAACTAATATCCGGATGTAGTTTTGATCTTAAATTTTTTTTATTTTTATTTAGAATTTTAACATGTATATTTGACTTTTGACTTTGTGCAGGACTTTCATAAGTAATATATATATATATATATATATTGAATTAATTTACAACGGAAATATTTTCTACAAATGATATTATATTATATGTTCCTCTGACAATTAAATCTATTGTGAATTAAAAAAAAAACAAATAGATAAAAAAAAAAAAAAAAAAAAAAAAAAAAAAAAAAAATTTTCCTTTTTTTTTTTTTTTTTTTTTTTTTATCAATCGAAATATTCATGATCTAAAACTTTGTAACAAATGTTAAATACTTGATTCTTAACTTCTATCCATGATAAGTATTCGATTTAGATTTTTGTTGTTTTTTTTTTGCTTTTTATTTAATTTAATAAACATTCGTTTTCATGTTTTATGTGAAAATCATCATTAAAACTCGATAGCTCGTTATTTATAATTATCGCAGCTATTCACGTGAACCAGATTAAATTTGTTATTGTGTTAAAATGCGTTGTGTCAGAAATTTTAACAAAATTTAAAAGATTTTAATCAAATTGTTTATCTAAAAATATTTATTTGAATTAACGATAAAAACGGGGCCATCGCTGCTATCGCAGCGATTGTTTTCTCAACAGAATTGCCGTCGCCAGAATTTTCTCAGGCTTATTAGAATAGGAGTACTACATTTAATTCTATTAACAATAAAGGAAAAATAAGAATAAGTAGAGGCTTGAAAAAGACTGTTTACACTTGTAAGACTATTTACATTAAATGCGTGCTTACCGTGTATTACTGTAATTAAAAAAAAAAAAAAAAAAAAAAAAAACAATGACTTGCTCAACATCACAAGTATTTTACCATCTCTCACCATGAGCAAATTATTCATCGATCCTTGGATAAAGACTTAACGATAATATACAACATTAATTACATTCACGATTCACGTTTACCATGCGCTAATATAGCTAGCGATGCCGTGAGCCTTATGACGACAGACCTTTCACCTACAACATGTCCGATGACTCAAAATACCAAAATAACCCAATAAAGAATTACGTTGTGGAGCCTCGAGAGTCGAGAGAGAGAGAGAGAGAGAGCTCAATCCACAAATATACAATACAATTTTTCTACTCGCCTCCAAATTTCATTCTCTTTGCCATTCCACATGGACTTTCTTTTTCCTCAATCCTACACAAGCCCATGTATTAATCTAGGCTGCTCCTATTTATTTATCGAAAATATTAATTTATGTATGTTACATGAAAGATCGAGATTGTTAAGATGGGCTGTGATTGGGCTGGAAAATAAGTTTGATTGGCGGTATGCTCGCAATTTACCAAACGCTGCTCATAATACAAGTTTGGACTTTCTTACCCGTTGCACACGCTTATTTACCTGCTCTCGTGACTACTACGAATTTGCCGTCCCCTCTGTTTCCTCTCGGTCTCCTCCATCACCTTGTGGTAAAAGTCCTTCCACATCTTCTCCTCGTCCATTATTCGTGTCTCGGAGCTACCGCTTGCGGAACTGCACAAAGTCGCGCGATTTACGTACTAACGAAAACTTTCTCCGGCGATGGCGAATACGCAGAGTAGGCCGCGCGCGTGTGCGTGCGCGCGTGTACGTGTATAGGACAGTCCGAATAGTGTGTCATTAAGGTGTGAGTAGGAGTCCGTAGACAATGGGAGCCAAAAAATAGTGACAGGCTCGCGATGAGGTGCGTAATCGTTTATTCTTCAAGCGCAAATGATAAAAGCAAGGCGCGTCAGCGCTACAAGAGAAGAAGCAAATGAAGCGAATCGAGCCGGTGATTGAATCCGCAAATGTAGGCTAAACTCCCCGTTAAGCCGAACGAATGTCTGTTGACAGGTGGACGAAATAGTAGGATCAGCATGATTTACCGACAGAGTTGGCGGACGGTAATTCGCAGATTTGTCTCTACGATTCTAGATGGCACTATCAATTGCCATATCATTGGGGAAAACCTTTTCGATTATTACCAATAATTTTATTAAACTACGTTACTCGTCGTCGGTAACGCCGGCCGTTACGTTATCGTCCGCGCATCGTACTTCAATAATTGCGTTTAGCTTATTGTGCAATAGTTAATAAAATTATTGCCACTTATCGCTAAACTCGCCGTCGACTCGTGCTGAATTAGTCGACGCCAATTGCATCTCATCAGCTTTTATCGACTTGAAACTATTAACGAAATTGCCTTATTAACTTTGTAATTAATTAGTCTATTCGGTTATATTGGTTTATATTTATATTGCGCGTTCCCCCGGTGCATTTGCGAATGTACTGTTAGATTAAATTTAATTACTCCAATGCAAAATCATCATTTTCATTGTCTTAAAAATTCGTCATGTGTCATTTAATACGGAAACACTTGTAGCTTGATTTAATTCATTATTAATGTAAAACTACGAAATAAAAGGTACGTTAGTATGATGTAATTATTGTTTTACTGCATAGAAAATTAGATAAGAGAGAGAGAGAGAGAGAGAGAGAGAGAGAGAGAGAGAGAGAGAGAGAGGGCGCACGCATTCGTTATTATAAAAATATTCAATAGCGAACGGACCTACGCGTGATCTAATAGCGCAATGAGACATCGGCCACTTCACGAGACCAAAATTTATAATTAAAAGAAGCTATTCACGGGCATACCAAAGCACAAAGCATAATTCCTTTGTCACTTACAACACAGGGGCGCGAATTAACGTCTCTTTGGTTTTTTTGCTTTTTTGTTTGCAGCAAAAAATCCCACAACGTTTTGCCTACTCTAACGCTACGTGGACCTTCGGCTATCTGAAAAAGCAACTAGCACACCACGCAATAGGTGCGCGCACACACGCTATTACAATGTTGTAAACTTAAATATAGACGTCGTGAGACTAAAGTGGAATAGGCCAAATGTCTTTTGCGATTGTGTACGAACATCGCGTTGGTCAATAGTCCAAGTTCTTTTTCTACTCGTCATTTGTCCTCCTCCTCCTCCTCTACGGATTACACTTCCCAATTGTATGGGATCCAAGTCTACGGGGGACAAGATGATTAAGCGCAGTTTCTTTCCAAAGGCAAAATTAACGAACGTCTTCCCGACAATTATGAGACTTTTTGATAAATCGCACATTATTAATTTTATCGCCAAAGCCAAGTCGATAAGAAGTAATTGTCAAAAACGTGCTTGTATACAGAATTTTACTCGACGATCGTAAATTTATGTTAATACATAGTCGGCCCAGTTTCTCCGATAACGCCTCGCTCTTAACAAATAGAACAAGACAAAATTTTTCCATCTTAACGGATAAGGAATCGCGCGGTCCCCCATTCCATCTGTCCGCATATTACTTCCAGAAATTCTCGGCGGAGCTCGGCTTCGTTGCTACTCCATAAGCGCAGACGCGAAGATTCGCCCGGCAACCTTTCACGTATTCATAAATGACCTTATGCATAAAAATATTTATTCAAGGATGAATTGGAACGTTATTTAAAAGACCGACGGATGCATCGCGATACGCTCGCCAAGGTCAACGTTTACAATCGTTATCCGCGAGCTAGCCTGCACGATAACCCAAAATAACTATATCACTAGCCAAGCAGTCGATCACTTTCGAAAATCAATTGAGATCGCGCGAGCGCAAGATATGCTAGCGGACCATTAATCACGAGTCGCTTGTCGCCAACGGTCGAACTTATTATTTCCTCCTCTCGTTCTTCCCGTGAAGACGGTTGATAATTCGTAGAAGTAGTCGAAAGAAGACTCTGTCGGTCTTTTGGCACGGATCGCCCAACCCGGCATTCGCCACTGCCACTTTCCAGTCGAAGAGCCACTTCGCTCGCTACTTCAGACGGTCCTGAATGAAATGAACTCCACACGACCATTGAATCGAAACCAGCCAAAATCCATTTGAAGTTCTGACGAGGTTGATGGGGGGAGGGAGAGGTGGATGAAGAGGGGGGGGGAGTGGAGGAGGAGGACTCGGTTAGCTCGGACGATCTCTATGTTTCGTGGAAATTGCTGTCGTATCTGACTCGAAATCATTTTTATTAAGAAGCACGTCTATTCGCGGCGTCTTTATTTTTAGTCAGGTGACACTTACGTCCCCGAGCGTTATTGGAGAAGCTCCAGATACTATTGCGACTGCGACATGCTAAATAACCGCGGATGCTGAATGGGAATCTCGTGAAAGTGTAGGCCGAGAGGTAAGAAGAATAGGAGATGATCGCCGCTGCGGACGGCCGACCATTATGAGCCCAATTCGCTCGCGGCTCTTTGACTCTTATTAGGAATGGAAGCAATGACTAGAGTGAAAAATTAGGTCGCGGCAATGGAGTGAAAATACCAATTTAAAGCACAGGCCGTGCAAAGTGTTTTTTCACATACTTCTCACGTTTCTCCGGAATAAGATGTGCGATAATGTTGAAGTAAGCGTCGAGAATTTGAAGTTAAAAAAAAAAAATTACAAAAAAAAAAATACATAAAAACGTTCGATTTCAATCCATTGTTTAGACACGGGAAGTACGTTCATTTTAAATTAATTATTGTTACTGAATTGTTTACGAACTCGAGCCATTAGATTTACAATATTATTAGCGAGTTAAATATCTTGCTTTTTTCGTTTAAAATGGTTGATTAGTTGTCGGCAACTAAGCTTGAAATCATTTTAATATTCAATACAACTTCAATCCGAGGAAAAACTAAAACATTCGATTCATCGATCTACATTTATAAATGACTCTATGTATCTTGTCATTGTAAGTCAACAAACAATAAAAAAAATACTACAAGTATAACTGTTACACATAAGCCCAATTTATGGCAAAGAAAAAAAGTATAAAATTACTAAAAATATAATAATAGATCAGATCGCGAATACACGCCCATTTACAAAAAAATAATTGTAATTAATATTTGAATTTGTTCATTCATAAAAGCAGAATAGTTTCATTAATATAAATCTCTCTAACGAATTAGAATATCAATTCTGCAAGTTTTCTCTCTACAAGTAACAACAATCTAATTAAACCAATATTAATAATTAATAATTTACTTAATAAACATCGTTGACGCACGTCTTTTATATGGTGCACAGTAAATATTAAACAATTTACGTAAGAGTATGAAAGTAATTACGTAAAAATAAAGATACTATGTTCATTTAAATAAATATATAAAGAAAATTATTTACATATAAATTATAATATAGCGAATATATTTAATGGTTCGTTCTTTGTATTTTATGTATTTGAAATTGCTCATAAAGTAAAATTATTTCATAGTGATTACTGTCTTCGTAGAGAATGTTAATTTTACTCAATTTTTTGTGAAAAAGAGCTGTATTATAACATTAAATCGCCTTAATAATATAATTGACCCTAGTTTCATTAAATAATATCGAATAATATATTTTACGCATTCTTCGATTACTGAAACTTGATTGGTCCTCTTGGCATTATCTTTGCAAACGTTTCTCAACGGACGTTCTTTTATATGTAAATGATGATAATAATATGTATTAACAACTATAATATTTCACATGCAAAATGAAATAATGTAAAATTATGTGGTTAACGTTATTAAACCTGTCGTTACGTGCACGGAAGATAATAAAAAAAAAGGAAAAAAAAAACACAAAAACTGTAGTCGATAAATTGATTATGAATAAAAGTAAGTTTATTTCTTCTCATGATGTTCTTTACGTTTTATTGACATTGGTAATAATGGGTTAGTGTTCTCGCTGGGAATATAGAAATGCAATTTTTTCATCGCTCATACTTTTCTGCTTTTATTACATACGATGTGTTAGAAAAAATTGTTCGAGAATTATTCTCTTCCTAATCATCGAGCATTAATGGATAATACCAGTATAAATAACAGTACTTAAAGATCTTATATTTAAATCAATCAATAAATATGGCAATCATCGATAGAATTGACTTTTGGCAATCGTGATGAATAGTTTATATTATTGCCGTGTTATTAGCTAAAGAAGAATAATTATTAATGAGAAATATTCAATTTTCTTAATGCGATGTGTTGGGTGCGTGTACGCGTGTGTCTGAGCACGCATTCACGAGTAAAAGAAAATTTATGTCAAAGTAGTGAAAAATCTTTCGATTCAAATTTATCAAAATTTATTCATCCATAATAAAGATACTTTAGCTTCGCTTTAAAGTTAATACTTATCAAATGTATTACTTTACAAATGCGTACATACAATAATTATTATATTCAAATTGAATTCGACAGTTGTATAAGTACGAAATTTACCGATTTCAACTTATTTACGGTATAAAAATTATTATTATTTATTAGTATTTAATTGAAAATATGCCCTCCCCTCTCGTTCTCGTAGAGCTTAGATAAGGTTATGTTATTCTAAACTACAACTCAAAAGTCATGGCCACTTGAAATTGAAATGAATTCAAATGAATTAAGTGCTCTAGCAAATTCTGTCATTTTCAATTGATAAATTAGATGGAGATTCTTGATTTAATATCTTAAAATCGTCAGTTTTGTGCATTGACTATCCGTTGCTATGGAAAAAAAAACAAGAAAAAGAAAATAAAAAAAGAAAAGAAAAAGAAAATAAGAAAAGAAAAGAAAAAAAAAAGAAAGAAACCTCCCCAATAAGAGCAATAAACACAAGGAATGAATCATTAATAACAAATCGTTGAAATAGTTAATAAAACTGCGGCATAATTGCAATGTTTTTTTACTGCACTTTTTTCTCATTTACTAAACCCAAATATATATATATATATATATATATATAAATGTAGAGACATTGGATTTATTATAAATTCA